GTTTTATTATCCCTGAACGATCGTGGTAAGTTGAAGTTACGTAAATCCTGAGGAGTGCGTATAACTTTAATGGCCTCGTCATAATCAAATTACGTTTACGCTTGGCAACCTCCTGTGCCCACCCGTCAACCCTATGCTATCTCATCCTGACTTTTTTTCTATAGGACCTTGGGGGGTACGCTCTTGACCACTGCAATCTGCATCACGTGGTGCTCCACCATCACCACTAGGCATCCCAACATCACCAAGTAGCTCATCACCAACATTCTCACGCATATCACCTGCACCATTGCCAATAGCACTTGCATCACCATAATCACCACTAAATTCACCACCAAAATCACTATCACCAAGCATGGCTGGGTGTCCACCTGAGCACTGTCGTCACTAAACACATACTCAGGATTTAGGGCTCATGAACCCACACCAGAAGGCTCTAAAATCTTGCTCTAAAATTGGGCACATATTGCACAGCACTTCTCACACCCATGGAACACGAATAACGTCAATGTTACGCCAAAAAGTCATAAAAAAAGAGCAGTAGGAAGTACACTGAACCACCTTATGCTATACAACGCGCCAAAACTAACAAGGAGGCAGCATCTGGGAGCGCAGATTGGCTGAGGAGCTGTGACGTAGCAAAGAAAATCCATTGTGATTGGCTGACTCAGGGGGTATGGTCCGCAGGAGGCACACTGTCATTGGCTCGCGCTCCTCTCAACCATGACCGGGATGTAGCCACCTACATTTACTAAGCGCACAGCCAGATACGTAGCTCCCGGCCTGAGACAAAATGACACCCTATTTTTTAAGGACTTTCAACCATATTTCTATTCTAGCTAGAGGGTTACACCCAACTCCAACATGCAGAGGAAGGGTAAAAATAGTGATATCCATAAAAAAAAAACCGCATTTTGTCCAGGGTGACGCTTCACCCCTTTCTAATGCTGAGCGCCTCATATGTCGCATACAGTGATTTAAATCACAATTTGATTTTTACATGTAAATGTAAAGGGAAAGAAGAAAAAACTAAACAAAACTGCTTACATAGCCAATTGTATTGTTAATCAGACACAGAAACTAAATATGCTCTTATTACATAAGCCTATATATGTAAGTAAACACAAGGGACTTCCACTTTTGTAAAATTCACTCCTCAGTGTTCTCACAACAAAAAATTATAATATTTTCTTTGTAACTGAAACAACAAACACAAATTTCAGATAAGTATCACCCCATTTCTTATCTTAGCCTACATGTTCTCTTGTACAGTGGTCCCTCGATTAACGAGCACAATTGGTTCCACAGAGTCAGTTGTTAACTGAATCTATTATTTCAATAGGATATTGGGTAATTTGTTTCTACTCAAAAAAAAAGTACATAAAAAGTATTGTATACCAGTAATAGAATTAACAAAACATTAAATATAAACTAAATACAGTAGAACGTCGATTTAAAGCAATTAAATTTAAGATTATTGATTTAAAGCGACACCCACAATTAAGGACAATATTTTAATTTAAACCGAATCTTTCCTACTTTGTGCGAGTCAATCTGGCGCACCATATTTACAATTTTGCTCCTAATGTTTCTCTGGGCACGCTACACTGTCCTATAGGTAAAGCTGTACTGTGCATGTACTCAAAATAATGTGACAATTTATAAGCAAAAAACATAAACTCAAGCTAAAGGACATAAATAAACAAATAAATACTTCACTAGACCTTTGGTGCCAACTGTCAAACATGTCACTGTCACCAGCCCCCCCCCTCCAGGATTTGGTGTTTTAGGCTTAAAGTTTTTATATTATATAATGTCACAGACTAAAGTTAGGAGAATATAATTTGTATTGCCGGAATAAGTCAAGATAGCGAATAATTTGAATGTGAACGTCATATATTTTGCACAAGAGAAAAATTTTTGCTCGATGTTATAAAATTCTTAAATTAGAACTAAAATTTGTATGTCTAATGCGAGCTATAGCATGTTTATATTCAAATTAATCACTATATTATAAGAATTCCATCAATGTTAATTATATTCTCCCATGTTAGTTCAGTGACATTTTATAAGAGAAAAACTTAAAGTCACTCTAAGGACAGATAAATAAATAAGCATCAACTGTCAAACATATTACCTCACCTCCCTTCCCCCCATCATCCCAGCCAGTAAACAGACCATTTCACATCCCTTAATTTTAGCTGTGTTGATTTATGAGTGTTTGTTTTAATATAATACTACAAAAAACAATGTTTTGTTTATTCTAGGAGATGGGCTGAAGTGCATCTGGGTAGACTCTCAGTCTCTTTAGTATTCTGTGTTTCTCTCAAGTACCAAACTAAATTATTCCATTGAAACAACACTTCAATTTAGTGCGAATTAGGTTTAAAGCGACCTCTCTTGGAACCTATCTCGTGTTATATCGACGTTTTACTGCATAATCCAGTATTGTACTGTATAGTATACTGTACAATAATAAATAAAAAACAATAGAATACTGTATTTTCCCCTACTTTGAGGTGTGTATGTCGTATTCCCGGCAGCTTTGTTTACATAGCAAACAGCTGATTGTAGAGGCGCTCGATGATGACATGCCATATTCTTTACAGAGTGCATTGGTTCTAATGCCTTCTTCATGTTTCATAATAATTTCTGCACTGTATATTATCAATATGTTAACTAAATTTCAGAATGACCAATAATTTTAATGTAAAAATGCAAAAATATTTAAGAGCACAACTTTTTCGATGTTTACTCCACTGTAAACAAAGTTAAACTGAGAAGAGTTGGTGGGCAATTCGATCAGCTGATGGGCACACAAAAACTGTTCCCTGTACTGTTATATTATTAATATGTTAACTAAATTTCAGAATGACTAATAATTTTAATATAAAAAATGCAAAAATATTAAAGAGCACAACTTTCTTGATATTTACTCCACTGGAAGCAAATGCAAACATAGAACCAATTACTGTATTGGCGGACTAGCCGATCAGCTGATGCGTGCACCAAAGCGTGTTTCTCATAAGGCTGTCGTTAATAGAAGTTGTACTCGTTAATAGAACTGAAAATCCTTATGGGAGCTAATTCGTTACCGAAATCTCGTAAATTGAACCGCTCATTAACCCTTAGGCCCCGGGTGACGTACCCGAAAGTCCGCCTATTTTCCCGCCATTTTTTTTTTTTCATCTTTAATTTTTTTGAAAAGTTCATTTTTTTCATGATTTAACCCCTCGGAGAAAGGGGCGGGGGGAACTGCCAGCAGCACCCTAACCCGGGACTTAAGGGTTAATGGAGGGACCACAGATATTATACTTATGCTTCAAACAAGTAGGAGTTGTAGGTAAATATTAAAGACATTGATCAATTGTTTCAGGTTTTCTTGTAATTTCCACATAGAAAATTAATCAAAACTCTACTTCCTTTGCCATATTTTGAAGGTATTTTATCAAAATATTGCCACACTGGGTCACTTTTTCAACAAGAAGGGCTCAGTCTTGTACTCAACGACATCTTTCCTGTGTGACTGCTTAGCTGTGAGCCTGTGCCTAAGGGCTACTGCACACTGGCACAGGTCTTAGCATGATGTAACAGGTTGGTAGTGGATGATGCAATACAGTAGACCAGCGGTTCTTAACCAGGGGGGCTCGTCCCCCTGAGTAATTTCCAGAGGGGGTCGTGAAATTCATCAGGAACCCATTCAAATGTGAGGTAGCTGATGTTTCGGATGAAGTCCAGGCAGAGTTCCTTGAGCTGAAGTTCAACTCCTCAGCTGAGGATGACTTTGAAACTCTGGACCTGGAGGTGTTCTGGGTCAAATACCTTCCTGTGTATCCCCCTGGTCTCACGTCAAGCTGTTCAGATTCTGACGATGTTTGGATCCACGTATCTTTGTAAGGCTGCATTTTCTGCGCTGGTTGCTGTCAAGACCAAATACAGAAGCAAGCTGAACGTTGAAGGGCACTTGCGCTGTGTTCTCTCTGGCACGCGTTCATGTATTCGGGATCTGGTAGCTCGGAAGCAGTGTCAAAAATCTCCCTAAATGTGTTCTCACTAAATATGTTGTGTATTTGCGAGTTGCTTATACAGACTCTTGAATAATTAAAGTTATTAAAGTAATGAATGAAAAACTAGTTTCTCAACTTTCCTATTTAATTCAAGAGGAAATTGTTTTAGAATTTTATATGAAGGAAGTGGGGGGAGAGTGGTCGTGGAGATGAGGACCAACTGCTATAGGGGGCACGACCCTAAAAAGGTTAAGAACCACTGCAGTAGACCCTTGCCATTCGCGATTTCGACGATTCGCGGGAAGCAGATGGTAGCTATGCTGGCTAGTTTGTGAGCCTTTTACCACAGTGCAACAAGTCACCCCACATGCTCGCAGCATCTCTTCTTCTTCTGTTTGCGCTCAACCATTGCCTGTGATGCATCATTTCGTGTTATCCTCTCAAAACTTTAGTGTTTCTGTGTGAAAATGGTCTCTAAAAGACTGCCTAGTGTCAGTGCTAGTGTTGCTCGTGGAGTGAAATGTAAAAGGTAAAAGGCAGAAGTCAGTGATGACCCTGATAAAGAAAGTTGAATTATGAGACAAGTTAAGAGGGGTTGAGTGCTGCCACGGTTGGTCGGTTATTTGGTATGAACGAATCTACAGTGCGGTACATAAGGAAGAATGAACAAGCAATTCATGATTCTGTTCAAGTGAGAGCTCCAACAAGTGCTAAAGTGGCACAGGTTGTTCATGACAAGAACTTAGTAAAAACAGAAAAAGCACTGACCTAACCTAACCAGATGTCTCCCTATGTACAGTACACCACTTCATCAAGCTTCCACATACGAATGTAAGTAGTATTGGTGACTAAAATTTCTCATACACAGTACAGTATAGGTATACAGTAGTGTATTAAGGTTGTACAATATATAAGTTGCTATTTGCGGTTTTGCCTATTCGCGCCATTCCTTGGAAGCTAACCCTGCGAGTAACAAGGGTTTACTGTACTCACTGGATGACGGCTGTGTCTGCCCAGAAGTAGACGGGCCAGCTACCCCAGGAGCTGAAGGAATGGAAAACATTCATTAAATTATTGAATTTCTACCACATAATAATTACATATCGTTCATCCAAAATTTAATGTCTATTTTTCCAAGCAATAAACTCTCAGTTTCATAACAAACTCACCTGATGAGGAAAATGGAGGGAAGAATGAGGTGATTTTCTTCTGTTGCTGGGCCATAACCATCTGATCTAGCAGCTGAGAGCACGTAGATGCAGCCCGATTCAACGCCTCCACCACTTGCATACTGCATTCCATATCAGGGTCTTGTTGCAGTGCAGACTGAGTGGCAGAAGTGACGTGCTGCATGAACTCCCTCAGCTTAGGAATTGTCAGATCCTTCCTCACTGTTTGGGGCTCATTTGTTGCTTCCTCTTCTTCCTTGTGATTCTTCGCCATCTCCACCATCTCCAAGACTTCTTCAGAAGTGAGAGGCTCCTCCATGCTGACAAGCAGTTCATTCACATCCTCTTCTTGGATTTCTTGAAATCCTGAATCACCTCTCACTTCCTTACCGAGCTTCAGAATGTCTTTCACGTCCTTGTCTTCATCAAAGCCCTTGAAATCATGGACTACCTGAGGCCACAAATTACGCCACACTCCATTTAGTGCACTTTCTGGCACACTTTTCCACGCAACTGCGATGTTAGCTATGGCATCTTCAATGGTGTAGCTCTTCCAAAACGTTGCTGCAGTCATATTCTTGTCCTTGCTCATAACTTCAGCCATTTGCTTCATGGTAAACTTGAGATAATATCTCTTGAACAATGCAATAACTCCTTGATCTAGTGGCTGAATGGGTGAAGTCACGTTTGGAGGGAAGAAGGTCAAGTTTATGTCCTTATTCACACTGCACAGGTGTTTGGAGTGGCAAGATGCGTTGTCCATGAGAATCAAGGCCTTGTTGCTAAGGTTCAGTTTTTTGTTAACATTTTCAATGAATGGGGTGGCATGGCTGATGTACCACTCATCGAAAATATCAGAAGTCATCCACGCCTTCTTGTTTGATCGCCAAAATACAGGAAGTTTCGGGATGAGCAAATTTTTCAAGGCACGAGGTCTAGCCGAGTGGTGGATGACGAGTGGTTTCATTCGTGAGGTGCCTGATGCGTTGGCCATGAGGAGAATCGTCAGTCTGTCCTTGCTGACCTTGAACCCAGGTGTCTTTTCTTCATTCTTCATTAGATAGGTTTTCTTGGGCATTCTTTTCCAATACAATCCAGTTTCATCACAATTCCACACTTGGCAAGGAGAATAACCATTTTCTTCCACTATATCCTTCAGAACTTTCTTCATATCCTCAGCAGCCTCCGCGTCGGCAGATCCAGCTTCACCTGAAAGCGTCGATTTCCTTAGCCCCGTCCTTTTGATAAATTTGTACAGCCAGCCTGTACTTGCTGTGAACTTACTGTCTTTGATGGACTTCCCTTCCTTTTCAAGTATCCGAGACTGTATTTTGTAGGCTTGGTTTTGCAGCATGGGGCCAGTGAAAGAAAGTTTTCGGCGCTGCATGTCTTCTACCCATAACTTCAGTGCATCTTCCATCTCAACATACATAGCAGACTTCAAGTGGAGTTTACCCTTGGCAACATCTGGTGAAGCATAGGCTGCTCTAATTTTCTTCTCGTTGAGCTTGATAGTGCGGACAGAGCTCTCCGACAGTTCAAATTGGCGCCCCACACTTGAAGCACCATTTCCACACTGCAGTGCTTCCAAGACCTTGATTTTCTGCTCCAGTGTAATTGCTTGCCTTGATTTCTTGGTCTTTGGGGTAGTTAATGATGTAGTGGCTGGCCTCTTGGACATAGTGGCAATGGTTGATGCACGTGGTAGGAGATAGTGTCACACAGTATGTCCGTTCACTAGAGCGTCAGCGTGAGAACTGAGGATGCAGGAGGGGGGCGGGCAGCCTTGTAGCATGCCCAGAGAGTATACTCATTAAAAAGGATGTGTCAAAAAATTATTATCCCGAGTAGACTCAGGACGCCATGCTATTCAAATATTACTAACCCGAAATAACGCGTATGAGTTTGCAAGCCCGTTGTTTATAAGTCTTGAGTAAGTAACGATGAATAGTTCTCCTTTCCCGCAATAGACGGCAGCACAATCTTTGTTTATAGAGCAGACGAAAATATTTCCTGGCGGCCAAGAGATGCTGCGTCTTCGTATGAAACGTCTTTGGTCGTTTTATTCACCCCCCCCCCCAATTATGATTAGTGATGTTGAATATAGCAGTGATGATTATGAAGACATGGAGGAATCAGAAAGTGATACAAGTGATGAAGACATTTCTTCTGAAGAGGAAGAAACGTCCGATGAAGAAAATCCACCTGACGCCAGGGGTTGGAAGAAGGTGAATGAATCAACGCTTGTCATCTCGCCTTCCCCACCGCCATTTGATTTTACTGCAAATAATGGTATCAATTATTCTTTTGATGAAGAGGAAAGTATTTTACAGTACAGTACAGTATTTTGAGAGATTCATAGATGCTTATATTGTAAATAAGATAGTTGTAGAGACTAACAGAAATGCACAAAATAAATTGAGAGAAGCGTCAGCAAGTGGCAGTCAACAATTAGAAATTAAATTAGAGTTTTCTTGGCCATTATAATCTTGCAGAATATTGTAAAAAAGCCTGATTTGCAACTCTATTGGTTAAAAAAATACCCTTATTTTTTATAACTATACAGTGGTACCTAGGTTAACGAGATTTCGGTTCATGAGTTACCTTCCATAAGATTCTTAACTTAGGTTAACGAGCAATCCCTCGGTTGACGAGTTTCTTACGAGCCGACCTCAACATGTTTTTGCTTGCATTTGGCGGTCCACCAGCTGTAGTATTAGTCCGCCAATACAGTAATCGGTTCTAGGGCTTATATTCCTTACCATTTTAGTAAATATCAAGAAGTTTATACTATTCAATAATTTTAAAAGTTTAATATTAAATTTTTTAGTCATTTTAACAATTATTGAACAGAATTGAAGGTAAGGAAACTACAGTAGAAGTCCAAAAATCCGGACTGCTTGGGGATTGGGTCGGTCCGGATTTTCCGGATTCTGAGGCAGTACTTTTAAAATTCAAATTTCAGGAGAAATAAAGAAGAGATGAACAGGTACATTTTGATAGTTTATTCATTAGCAAATATAGCATGCTTCATTTATCAAAACAAGCAGTTTTAAAGATAAAGCTGTGAATTCTAAAATTTTATTCTTTGCCTTTTTTTATATCATAAATTGTAGACTTTCCAATGACGTATGTTTCCATTAGATCAGTATTGCTCACACCACGTTCTAGTTTCTTAATTATTTCAAGTTTGTCACTCAATTTCAACGTGTTGTTCTTTCTCTTCACACAATGAAGTTTATCTACTTTAGGAGCCATTATTATGGGCTTGTACAGTACTCTGTAAATGGAAAGAGTAGGACTCAAAATTACATACGTTGTCACAGTTTGATTGCTCGTTTTAAAGTGGTGACCGCGTGGTCGCTTGTTGTCGCTGTGCAGCTGTGGCACTCACGCATGCACACACACACACAAAAGCCAGCTAAAAAAAAAAAAAATAGAGTTTGAGTTTTCGAAAAGTCCGGATTCTCGGGTGGTCTGGATTTCTGGCATCCGGATTTTTGGACTTTTACTGTACAGTAGTTTCATGCGTGCCATCCAGCCTGTCAACACACCAAACAGGTGCCAGTCTCTCTGTCTTTTCAGTGGAGGTAACATCTTGCCTGAGACTCTCTTCAACTAAACGCTTTTTTTCTGTGTTTGCAATAAATTATTGGTCATTTTGAAATTTTTTTTATATATTGACAATATATAATGCAGTGCAGGGTTGATTTAAAGAAAATAATCTTGAATTACACCAAGAGAACTAAAATTTTATGGGTGAAATGGCGCCATGGGGTGACTTCTCTTCCACCCCAATGCCTTCTCTTCTCCCTTCTCCTCCACCCCCATTCTAATTCCCATCATCATCATCCAGGAGCCTTCTACATACACACCTCAAAGTAAGTGTACTTTTCTACCTTTTTTGTTGAATTTAGGCAATTTTCGGAGAGCTGGAACCAATTACCCAAAAACCCATTGAAACAATGGTTTCGGTTAACGAGAAACCTTCTTGAACGGATTGTGCTCGGTAACCGAGGGACCACTGTATTAGCATAAAGTAAAAACAAATAATTCATTTCAAGTAGTACTGTACTGCACCAATTATTCTCATGATTTTCTTATTAATTTCATATTTTCCGAGTATACTCGGGATAATAATTATGGTGTATTTTACTATGTAATACTGTAACTCCTAAAAAAAAAATTGTATCTTGAAATATTTTGTATATCAGTTTGTCCTTATATACACAATAGAAAATTGGCATAAAAAATATGATGATAATTTATACATACACTGGGAAAATAAGGGTAAGGGGAGGGGTTAAATTGATACGTTGTCTTTAATTGTGGGTGTCGCTTTAAATCAATAATTTTAAATCGATTTGCGTTAAATCGACGTTCTACTGTATACCTGTACTGTAATCACTTTGGACTGGATGGTGACTATCATGGAGCAATAATAACTTTTTTGGATTCTGGTTATACAAACTAGAATAAAATAAAAAATCTTTTTTAAATCAATTTTTTTTTTAAATCAACAGCCCTACAGTATATGGATGTGAACTATTATACACTGGTAAAAGTGGTGATAATAAACTTTCTTACAGGGCTGCACACATCTCTAATCCTGATTATAAGAGAACCAAGTTGCCACTGTCCAGTATAACTGGTGACTGCTTCTCTAATCTGTTGGGCTCTCATCCTCTGAGTGTAATGTATAATATGGGTCCAGGGGAGCCAAGTTGCTACACTCTCTCTCTCTCTCTCCAACTGCACTTAAATGAATTCTTAAAACTTTAAACTGTAAAGTAGAATTTTTTTTTTCCATGCATTAAGATGAACTTGAACTTAGTTTTTGCCTTTAAGCATGTTGGATGAGTCTGGATGACTGATAAAAGCTTGTGTTTTTCAAATTTGTCCTTTTCATTGATTTTTCCCTCTTCTTTCATGCCCTACTCACTAACAAGTAATTTATAATTGAAGGAAAGGCTAAAAAGAAAAAATACTACAATGTTGTCATTTCAATTTTATTATACTTGGTACCATCCAAAAATTTAGTGCAATTCCATAAAGTGGAAGTGGTGCTAACCGTCTCCTCCACCATTACCCAATATAGTACTGTACTGATACTGTACTGTAATTGAGTACAGTGGTCCCTCGGTTAACGAAATTTCGGTTGACGAATTACCTTCCATAAGAATCTTCATTTTGGTCACCGAAATTCTTACAAAAATGTTTCAACATGCTTTGGCTTGCTCACCAGCTGGAAGATTAGTCCGCCAATACAGAAATCGGTTCTAGAGCTTACATTCGTTAAAATTGGAGTAAATATTAAGAAGGTTGTATTATTCAATATTTTTCCAAGTTTTACATTAATTTTTTTAGTCATTTTAACACTTATTTAACATAATTGCCATACAGGGAACCAGTATTTGGTGCGCCCATCAGCCACTTCACTCACCCACCAAGGCCCCAGTTTGTATCTCTGTTCAGTGGAAGAAACATCTTGCTTGTGGATCTCTTGAACACAGAGTATGATTACGTTTAAACAGTACAATTATTGGTCATTCTGAAATTTATTTAACATATTGACAATATATAGTGCAGTGCTATGTTGATTTAAAGAAAATAATCTTGAATTACACCTAGTGAGCTTAAAATTTTATGGGTGAAATGACAGCATGAAGCATGGGGTGATTTCTCTTCCACCCCCACTTCCTTCTCTTCTCCCTTCTCCTCCACCCCCACTTCTAATTCCCATCATCATCAACCAGGAGCCTTCTACATACACACCTCAAAGTAAGTGTACTTTACTGCATTTTTTTTTTAATTTGTATGTAATTTTCAGTGAGCTGGAACCAATTACCCAAAATCCCATTGAAACAATGGTTTCGGTTAACGAAATTTTCGGTTATTGAACGACCTTCTGGAACGAATTGTGTTCGTTAACCGAGGGACCACTGTACAGTAGCTATGAGCTTGCGTAGGGTGCCAAATACCCTTGTACCGACCCTGATGGAGATATGACCCTTTAACACTAAGAATGACAATGAATCCTTCCAAAGTGGGCAGGGCTTTAAAGATGAGGGAAAATGTGTAGTTAAAAAAATAACAGAATCATTAACAACCCAACCTAACCCTTCATAAGCTATATTATAACCTGTTTCAGCAAAATTCTTTCTATCTTTATCGATGAACCCACATACACTGATTTTGAGAACCTGGTTTTGTACACTGCAAATTGTGTTCATATTTAGTGGATGTGATCTAGACATGACCAAGACATAACAATATTGACGGATTTCAAATTCGCTGAACACATATTTGCAGGATATTATATTCAAATCTCTTTCGTGAACTTCAGGCGATCTGCTTTGACCAATCAGAGGACAGTTCATATCTCTTGGGAGATTTCTGCATGCGCAAAAATTTCATCTACCAGTATTGGTTCGTGTTAATGGCTTCATGACCCAAACACAAAAAAAATGCAAAACAAAAATAAATTCACTTTTGGTTAATATTCCATAGTGACCATTCACAGACCTTTATACTGATTCATTATACTATAGGGAGAAAAAATTATTTATTCCATAGCGCTTCTGGCAAAAATTGATAGCTTGAGATATTTTCACAATTCAATTTCACTTAAGAGAGTGCAAGTTCCAGGATAAACTAAATTGTTTACTTTTTACTCAGCCATTCTACAGACGTGTTATGTTACATTTAATTTAGTGAAACTGAAAAATATTAATTTCTGCCAAAAATGCTATAGTAAATTACATGTAACTTTTTTTTTTTGCTCTCTCTCCCCATAAGACATTGAATATGAAGTTCAGTGAATGGGGGTGTTGGTGGTAACGTTGTAACTCTGACCAATATGTCAAGGGTTCGAGCCTCGGACCAGACACAAGTGAGAAGGGTTTATGTGCCTCTACCAAACCTCACAGGTTTCCCAGTCCCCAGTTTTCTCCTGTACTAATACTGGATAGACCAACTGCATGAATGGCTAGTAAGCCATTACGTCCATATAAGACCGGCAACAACCTTCACGCGTCATGCTGAAAATGAAACTACCACGAGCCCGGGGAAAAGCGCTGCAGCAGTGTTGCTTCATTACTGCTGGGAAGACAAATTAGTGAGCGCCTCGGCTCTTAATTACCTACAAAATGAGACATTTGCCCAAGAAAAGATTACCATATCAGAACTCACTGATGAAAATAAAGTAAGAAAATAAACAGTAATACAAATAACTCGTTCGCGGGTCAGTCCTATATATTAACCACCTAACCTAACCTTTACCTAAACTAACCTTTACTTAGCCTAGCCTAGCCTAACCTTAACATGCCTTACCTAACCTAAATTTAAAATGCATAATAGTGGCAACCTAAGTTACATTTACCACACATTTATAGATATGTTGGAGAAATGATTGTAAAAAGTTTTTTATCGGCAAATGTATTTTTTAAAAAAGAAATTGACATTTTTCTAGAGAACTTAATTGTTTGTCATGTGCTTTGTGGCTTTCTTAGGTTAGGTAAGGTAAGATTAGGTTAGGTTAAATAAGGTAAGGAAAGATTAGGTAAGGTTAAGTTTTGTTTGGGTAAGAAAATTTCACTAATTTTCAAGCAAAAAAAAATCACTACTGAATGTATCGGATAAAAAACCTTTGAACATAATTCTTTTTCTAAGAAAAAAACTCTTTACCACTTTATTTTTACCCCCCCCCCCCATTTTATTAGTGTTTGATGAACTTAGATTGGGTTAGGTATTATTTGACTCCGAGTCACGGGTACTTATTGGATACTTGGCAGAATAACTTGTTATAACTTGGTCCTCGCATAGCAGTCTAGGCAAAAATATTCACTTGGCCTCATAATTGGCTTTCATTACTGAGGGATAATTAAGGCTATACCACATTAATAAGGTCTATCTGCAAGCTTACTCAGTCATAAAAAATATTTGTATCATAAATGTGGACAATAAAAATTTTCTATTTTGGTACAAATTACTTGAAAAGTTGTAAGAAGACAAAAGCTGCGTCTGTTCCATTCCACGAGAAATAGAAACACTCAAGCCTCTTCTTAATGTAAGAAAAAAAAATAACTAAAAACCCAAACTGTAATATAGTATTTCAGTATGTTGATGTACAAAACATATTCTTCATTATTCTATGATAAAACAAGTGTAGCAAACATTATTACAACACATATTATTATTTTTTTTATGCAGTCAGGAAATAGAGACTACTATATCCGGATTGATCGTGTTACAGCACCTCCTTAGGTGCTGTAAGTTACGGCCTAGATTACGGGCTCACTTACGGAGTCCGCTGCCAAATATCTGTTTTGAGTATACTGATCAGAGACTGGAAGTCCAGTTATGGGTAAACAAAGAGATACAGTCCCGTAAATGTTTTTGAATATGCGGCCCCTGACCCACATTGTGTTCACAGATGAGGTTATAAGAAATAAACTGCCAAAGCTAAAGGTTCATAAAAGTCCCGACCCTAACATGGTGCATCCCAGAGCACTAAGAAAGTTGTGCAACAAGCTTGCTGAGCCCCTGAAGATCCTGTTCAGTAAATGCCTGGATGAGCAATAGGTCCCGTGTTTGGAAAATGGCTTATGCGAGTCCTATCTTCAAGAAGGGCGATCATCACTCCACGAAAAACTATAGACCGGTGAGCCTGACAGAATAGTATGTAAAGTACTTGAGAGTATTATCAGAGACACCATGATGGAACATCTACTACAAAACAACCTTGTAAAGGATTGCCAACACAGTTTTATGCCGGGGCGCTCCTGCTTAACACAGTTACACAAGGTACTGGATATTTGGACCCAAATTCTGGAACATGGTGCTAATATCGACAGTATATACCTAGATTTTTCCAAGGATTCCGACAGTGTACCCCATGAAAGTCCGAAAATTAAATTGGAAGGGTATGGAATTCGGGAAAATGTCCTAGGGTGGATCAAGAGACTTTCTACAGGACTACAAGCAGTGTGTGGTAATTAATGGCACGAAATCATCGTGTGTACCCGTCACAAGCGGGGTACCACAGGGCAGTGTATTGGGCCCGCTGTTGTTTGTTTGCTTCATAAATGACATGCCTGACGCTGCACATTCCTCCATACAAATGTTTGCGGATGACGCCAAGTTATTTCAGGAAATTAAGAACTAAGCGGACTGTGAAGAGTTGCAGAAGGATCTCTGTGGGCTTCAAGAATGGTCAAAGAAATGGCTGCTGAGATTCAATGTCACGAAATGTAAGAGGATGCACCTGGGACATACCAACGGTAAGGAGACTTTTCTTATGTCCCAACGGGACAAAAAACTGCATTAATTAAGACTGAATGTGAAAAGGACCTAGGTGTTTATGTTGACAATGAGCTGAAGTTCTCGGGCCATTGCGAGAAGAAGGTAAATCAGGCAACTAAATTATTAGGTCTTATAAGAAGGTCGTTCAGATATCTAGACAGTCCATCCCTCATAACGATCTTCAAGAGTGGAGTGCTTCCCCATCTGGAGTACTGTCACCCTGTCTGGTCCCCGAGATATGCTAGGGACTGTCAGTTGATTGAAAATGTCCAAAAGAGGTTCCTGCGCTTCGGCACCTCAGCTAACCTGAGAAATTAGAGCGCCTGAAATTGCCTAGCTTATACTACAGGTGGGCAAGAGACCTAATTGAGGTGTATAAGCATCTCAAAGGGCACAACTCGGTCAAGTGCCCTTACCTGGAACTGGCAGATGCTCACCCCACAAGAGGTCACAGCTCAAGGTTGAAGAAGCCGCAAGCCCAGAAAACTGTGAGGGGCAACTTTTTCGGAGTGAGAGTCGTGAACTCTTGGAACATTCTGCCAGCGAGTGTTGTGACGGCACCGAGTGTGAGCTCTTTCAAGACCAGACTTGACAAGCACTGGAGCAGGTTCAGATACATTCCAGAGCCGGTGCATGCCAGTACTTGCCAACAGTGCATAACAGAGACGTGTCCAAGCGGTTAACGAGCCGATCAGTGGTGAAGAGGACAAAAGTATAATGTTATATAATTCTGAGATAAATGCACAGTAGGATACTGTATATCAGGTGCCACTAAGAGAGCTCAGGCTCTCAATTAACTCAGCCATGTCAACATTGATTTGTATTATATATTGTCCACTCCGTATCTGCATTAAATTCGTCTAAATTAATTGTTTCAATATCAATAGTAATTATTGAAGTCTATACCGTCGCCAATTTTTCATAAAAATTTATTTAAACATTTCAACTTCAGTGTTTTATAGTGGACAGTCAGAGTTATGTCAAATGTGTTAAAAATTGTTTATTTAAAAGTTCAACTTAACCTAATCTAACTTTAACCTAACCTAAGAAAATGAAGTGATTATCATATCAGAATTCACTGAAGAAAATATAGTAAGAATATAACCATAAAAAAAAGCAGTGGATATTTTGCCATGACTTTAAGTTCCTACTAACACTATTTTACCGTGAGTGAGCAGAGAACAACACGAGAACTATATTTGACCATGATTCTGGCGGCATTTGGTATTTATTTTGCCGAGTCGATCGTTGTCGCTGTAAACATACCTAACCATATTTCTGTTGTGCATTGAGACTTATTATAAAAGAGGTGACATTTACTCGAACCTAACCTTACCTGCCCTAACCAACCAAAGAAACCTACCTAACCTTACCTAACTTCTAGGCTGAGGGGTGGATCCCCCGTCATATTAAACAGAAAGCACTTAGCCAATCAGAGCGCACTCACGGTAAAATTGCGTTAGTAGGAACTTAGACAGTCACGGCTAAATATCCACTATGAAATAAATAGCACGTCATCAATATTAGCAGCTACACTTTCTTAAATTGGTGAAAACTCATATTTTAATTTTAAAATTGCATGAGGTTCATTGATTGGTTCAAGTCCCAAATATCGTCTATTTACGTAGAAAATTTGCTATAGTGTTGTACGGTTACTTTCAGTCACTCACAAATTGGTCCAGGTAATTATCATTGTGGTTATTATTGCTACTGTTCACGTATAACTTAAGTCTTGAGGAATGGTTACTTTTCAGTTTAGTTTATCATCTGTAATATATAGCCATCAAGTATTTGTACTGACTCATAATTACCTTCTGTTATTTTCATAACACGATTAATTTCTAGGTTACTTCATATTATTCAACACGTTAGCAGAACGAACAAATTACAGAGTACTTGTTATTTGAAATTCACAATTGGGTAACTAATCACCACACACGTGTAATAATGTATTATCAACTGCCGTCACCAGTAACCACACAATAGTACTGTACTAATGTTAAAACTCGGTAAACAAGGAACAAGGAATATCTAACAAGGAAGTTATACTTAAAGCGTTTAGCGGGGCGCGGTTGGTGACATTTGGAATCAATTTTAGTTGGAGAGAGTTAAAGAATGAGTATGAATGAATAAGTAAAGGCTAGTGACATGGGGGAAGGAGGTTCAGTGGACGTTTGAAGGGGATGATGGAAGGGAATTTTAGCGAGAGAAAAAAGGTGCCGTGGCTTAACACAGCTTGCGTGTGGGCGATGAGGCAATGCCATGATTGGTGGAGGGAGCTAGGATGACCAATCACCCTAAACGATTTTTACCCAGGGTAAACCCCGCCATCTAGTTCGTGAGCACGGTAATAAATTATAAACGTTTCAGGAGTACTTGCTTTAAAATTCGTGACCCAATTCCTCGCCTGTACCCCTTTACTGCCTTCAGTATGAGACTTTGTAGTGGATTCCTCCCCTACAGATCGAGTAATCTGTCTGTATATGATGTCAAAATGCAAGCCATGATATAATGGTGTGGGGTTCAGGATATTTGGTTCACACTCAGGATGGGATGGAGAAAGGAAACTCACAATGTGCTCTCTATATACATGTTGTATTGGATGTACAATGCAGCTTGGTGCTGGGAAGGCAGCATGGTTACAAGCGTGATGTAGAGAGAGCTGGTTGGTGAGGACGCTCAGAGAAGGACAGCTTGTGGGTCGCCATGCTCGCCAGCGGGAGAGAGTACCGCGCAGGCAGGCGGAGAGAGGACCCCCAGGCAGCGGCGGAGGAGGTGTTGCTGGCTGGTTGGTGTAGGTAGAAGGAGAGACAGATCACCACGAGGTCAGGTCTTAAATAGCGGGGGTAGGCGTGGCTTAGCAGTTGACCCCCGCTCCGTGGTGTATGGCGGCGCTGGTTGACCTAGACCACGAGGCATACACTGGGGAATTGGTGGGGTCGGCTAGGCAGCGACAAACAGCGTTTGTAGGGGAGAATTCCACTACAATACTCCCCCTTCCCTCCAGGCGGTGTAGGAGACTTGTTGTCTGCAGAGTTGCTTAGCACATGTGAGGCAGAACGGGCGGTGCATACCTCATGTGAGACAACGGCGATGGCGTGGATGAGCCGGTCGCTGGATACAACTGTCTATATACACACTATCTGTGGGAGAAGAGAGGGAGAAAAAGGGTGTGTGGAGGCGATGAATGTTGTGCTTCCCTCACGGCAGGTACAGAGTCGTCAGATGCGCCTGCTGGGGTGTGTGTGGGCCTGGGTCAGGAGCAGGGGCTGTGTCAGCAGCAGCGGATGAGGGCTCGTGACAGCAGCTGGGTCCACGACTGCAGCAGGGTGCAGGACATTAGCAGGGAGTACCTGAGGGAGAAAAGAGGGGTGTGTGGGTCCGCACTCAGGAACAGAGGCCGCATCAGGGGCGGCAGGGGTTACTGCTGGGCCGGGGTCGGCGTCTGAGGCAGGACGGGTGTGCTGGGGTCGGAAGAGGAGCTGCTCTAGGGTGTCTGACCTGCGGTGTAGAGACAGAAGCTGTAGAGCCGATGAGAGCTGCTTCTGGGTGGATAAGCCAGTCTTCCATGTTGCTTGAAGACTGGGAGCGTGATCAGTTTCTCCTCCATCCTGTGTGAGTGCGAATCTCCGGGAGTCACCATTTGTGGGGTTCAGGATATTTGGTTCACACTCAGGATGGGATGGAGAAAGGAAACTCACAATGTGCTCTCTATATACATGTTGTATTGGATGTACAATGCAGCGTTAAGGTGATGTAGAGCTACTGGTGAGGACGCTCAGAGAAGGACAGCTTGGGTTGCTCGCCAGCGGAGAGAGTACCGCCGGCGAGGCGGAGGAGGAGCGAAGGCCGCCAGGCAGCGGCGAGGAGGTGCTGGCTGGTTGGTGGTGGTAGAAGGAGAGACAGACACGAGGTCAGGTCTTAAATAGCGGGTAGGCGTGGCTTAGCAGTTGACCCCGTCCGTAGGCGGCGGCGCTGGTTGACCCAGACCACGAGGCAACACTGGGGAATTGGTGGGGTCGGTAAGTAGCGACAAACAGCGGGCATACACTGGGAATTGTGGGTCGGCTAGGCAGCGACAAACAGCGTTTGTAGGGGAGAATTTCACTAACATTCTCTCCAGGCGGTGTAGTGGCGACTTGTTGTCTGCAGAGTTGCTTAGCGCATGTGGAGGGTAGAACGGGCGGTGCTACCTCAAGGGAGATGAACGGCGATGGCGTGGATGAGCCGGTCGCTGGATACAACTGTCTATATACACTATCTGTGGGAGAAGAGGAGAAAAAGGGTGGAGGCGATGAATGTTGCAAGCTTCCTCACGGCAGGTACAGAGTCGCCGGATGTCGCTGGGGTGTGTGTGGCCTGGCTCAGGAGCAGGGCTGTGTCAGCAGCAGCGGATGAGGCTCTGTGACAGCAGCTGGGTCCACGACTGCAGCAGGGTGGTGACATTAGCAGGGAGTACTCCAGAGGGAGAAAAAGAGGGTGGGGGTCCGCACTAGAAACAGAGGCCGCATCAGGGGCGGCAGGGCCAAGCCAGCCGGGGTCGGCGTCTGAGGCAGGACGGGTAAAAGGGGGTCGGAAGAGGAGCTGCTCTAGGTGTCTGACCCAGGTGTAGAGAGGCTGTAGAGCCGAAGGAGAGCTAAGCTTTGGGTGATAAGCTGCCTTCCATCATGTTGCTTGAAGACTCTGGGAGCGTGATCAGTCTCCCTCATCCTGTGAGTGTAATCTCCGAGTCACCATTTGTGGGGTTCAGGATATTTGGTTCACACTCAGGATGGGATGGAGAAAGGAAACTCACAATGCTCTCTATATACATGTTGTATTGATGTACACATGCAGGTTGGGAAGGCAGCATGGTTACAAGGGCGTGATGTAGAGAGAGCTGGTTGGTGAGGACGCTCAGAGAAGGACAGCTTGGTCGCCATGCTCGCCAGCGGGAGAGAGTACCGCCAGGCAGGCAGAGGAGGAGCGAAGCGCCAGGCAGCGGCGGAGGAGGTGTTGCTGGCTGGTTGGTGTAGGTAGAAGAGAGACAGATCACCACGAGGTCAGGTCTTAAATAGCGGGGTAGGCGTGGCTTAGCAGTTGACCCCCGTCTGCGGGTGGCGGCGCTGGTGACCTAGACCACGAGGCATACACTGGGAATTGGTGGGTCGGCTAGGCAGCGACAAACAGCATTTAGGGTCTTACTACAGCATACACGGCTAATCAGCGACAAACAGCGTTTGTGAGGAAATTCACTGCAATACTCCCCTTCCCTCCAGGTGGTGTAGGAGACTTGTTGTCTGCAGTTGCGCCAGCACTGCTGGGCAGAGCAGACGGTGCATGCCTCATGTGAGACAACGACGATGGCGTGGATAGGAGGCCGGTCGCTGGGGACTGATGCTCTAGATACACAATATCTGTAGGGTAGAGAGGAGAATAAGACGTGTGGAGGCGATGAATGTTGTGCTTCCTCACGGCAGGTACAGAGTCGTCAGATAAGCCTGCTGGGGGTGTGTGGGCCTGGGGTCAGAGGCAAGGGCTGGAGTCAGCAGAAGCGGATGAGAACCGTGAGCATGACTGGGTCCCACGACAGCAGCAGGGTGCAGGACGTGTAGGGAGTACCTGAGGGAGAAAAGAGGTGTGGATGCCTCCAGGAACAGAGTGCATCAGGGCAGCAGGGGTTGCTGGGCCAGGGGAGTCAGCGTCTGAGAGCAGGACAGGTGTGCTGGGATAGGAAGAGGAGCGACTGTCTGCTTCAAGTGGCAGAGCTGCTCTAAGGTATCAAACCTGTACAATTGTGAGAGACAGTAGCTGTAGAGCCAGGCAGGCTTTAGCCTGGGTAGATAAGCCAGTCTTCCATGTTGCTTGAAGACTGGGAGTCAGTTCTCCTCCATCCTGTGTGAGTCTCTGGGAGTCTCACCATTTGTGTATGTGATTTTTGGATTCTACCACACTCAGGATGGAGTTGGAGAAAGGAAACTCACAATGTGCTCTCTATATACATGTTGTATTGGATGTACAATGCAACGGTGCTGGGAAGGCAACATGGTTACAAGCGTGATGTGGAGAGAGCTGGTTGGAAAGTGCTCAGAAGGACCAACAGCAGGTGCGCCATGCTTTCGCCAGCGGGAGAGAGGACTGCTGAGCAAGCGGAGGAAGGCGAAGCCTTCCAGGCAGCGGCGGAGGAAGGAGAGGTGTTGCTGGCTGCGGCTGTGGGTAGAAAGAAGATCACCACGAGGTCAGGTCTTATATAAGCGGGGGTAGGCGTGACTTAGTAGTTGACCCCGCTCCGTGGTGTATGGCGGCGCTGGTTGACCCTGAACCACGAGGCATACACTGGGGAGTGGTGAAGTGCGACTGCTCAGCGACAAACAGCGCGTTTGTAGGGAAATTCCACTACAATTATACCTCCCTCCGACTGGTCGCCATTTGTCTGCAGGGTTGCGCTATGCTTCATACCTTGAGGGCAGAACGGGCGGTGCATGCCTCATGTGGAGACAACAACGATAAGCGTGTAGATGAGCCGGTCGCTGGGGACAATTGTCTAGATACACAATATCTGTGGGAGTGGGGAGGAGAATAAAGGGTGTGTGGAGGCGATGAATGTTGTGCTTCCCTCACGGCAAGTACAGAGTCGTCCAGATGCGCCTGTGCTGGGGTGTGGGACTGGGTCAGGAGCACAGGCTGAGTCAGCAGAAAGCGGATGGGGCTCGTGACAGCAACTGGGTCCCGACAGTAGCAGGGTGCAGGACGTGGCAAGGGGAACACCTGAGGGGGAGGAGAAAGGGATGTGTGGGTCCGCACTCAGGAACAGAGGCGCATCAGGGCAGCAGAGGTTACCCTGCTGGGCCGGTCGGCGTCTGAGGCAGGACAGGTGTGCTGGGATGGGAAGAGGGCGACTGTCTGCAGTATGAGAACACCAACCTTCTTGGGTGTCTGACCTGCAGTGTAGAGACAATGCTGTAGAGGCCGATGAGGCACAAACCTGGGTAGATCAAGCCAGTCTTCCATATTTAACGAAGACTGGGAGGCGTGATCAGATTTCTCCTCCATCCTGTGTGAGTCACGAATCTCGGGAGTCACCATTTGTGGGGTATGTGATTTTGGGTTCACACTCAGGATGGGTTGGAAACTCACAATGTGCTCTCTATATACATGTTGTATTGGATGTACAATGCAGCTTGGTGCTGGAAAGGCAGCATGGTTACTGCAGTCTAGAAGGCAGTTTGGAGGGTGCTCAGGCGACCAGCAGCAGGTCGCCATGCTCGCCGGCAGGAGAGAGACCGCCAGGCAAGCGGAG